TATAAAAGTAAACCATTATAGGTCAAGGTACGGCCTTCAACACGGAGCATTGGCTCACACCGAACAGCAAGCTATAAAGGGCCCCAAAAAATTACTAGTGTAAAACCATTCAAACGGAAAAACCAACGGTCTCATCTATATAAAAACGAGAAACGAGAAACACGTATGAACTACATAAACAGACGACAACTACTGTAATCAGATTCCTGACTTAGGACAGGTGCAAACATTTGCAGCGGGATTAAACGTTTTAATGGTTCCAAACCTTCTCCCTTTTCTGAAACAATAGTATAACATCACAACATAGAAAAACACACTATAAAATATCAATTGGAAGGCTTAACTCAATCAAAAAACGTAAATTAACACACAATGAACGAATAAATTTGACCTGTGACACCTGAATGCAAATACACAGTTAATAAAAAAATACAAGGGATAAATAATTAAAGTCAAAAGTAAATAAACAGGTTTAAACAAAGTTAAAGTATGATCTCACTGTGAAATGTCAAACAATTTTTAGAAAATCATCACTTTTGAAGAAACCTGCGTCATATTATACACAGGTAAATGAAAATAATTTTGTTGTTAAGTATACTTCTTCTTCTGTGTGTATGAAATCTTCCGTTTAGGAATACCAAAACATTTCTTTAATATCAATAAAACTAATCTAACACTTGGTACATATGGGGTGAATATCAACAATAAAACTATACAATTAGTGCTAGATAAAACTTCCTGTACAGGTCCAAGAACAGCATGTAGGGAAAAATGAAATAATTTTGATGTTCATAGTACGAAGAAGTGAAAATTTGTAGTAATACCAAATAATCAAAGCTGGTATATAGACAAGATCCATATTAACTATTAATAACAAAAAAGCATTACAAATAGTATCAACAGGTCAAATTAAAAAGAAAGTACGATTTGAGAGTACTCGCAGTTACTGACAGCTAGATGACCGTTTAACGCCCAGCGGCAACTGAAATGCATATTTAGGACGAGAACGTGTTAATGTGATACGCTTCGTACTAGACTGACACTCTGAGCTAGATTTTAAACGTGCTAGTTCACAAGGTAACGGTCTGCAGGTAGACATGTAATCCTATCCAGACACGTTATTCTGACCTCGGCCAACAAGACAATCATTTATATTCCTCCTAAATGCCTAGTTCAGCGGAGAATCTGCAAATTGGGTTCGAACCCATGACCTACCACACTCGAGAAGTCTGACAATTTGGCCATGTTGACTCAGTTGTAGATCTTATTTTGCTTTTATAAGGTTTTCTCTTACTACTAAGTTATTTTTTTCAATTTTTTTTTTAAAAAGTGTAAAAATCTTCATTCAGGAGAAATAATTGACAATTTTGGCCATGTTGTAGATCTATTGTGCTGAACATTTTTGCTGGTTGCTGTTTCTCTCTTTCTATAGTATCTGCAAAAAGACACAAAAAGATTAAACATAATCTTTTCATTGGCAAAAACTCCTTTAAAGGGTGAATTGACGATTAATATGTTGATCTTATTTTGCTACATATTGTTGCTCTCTATTCATTATAGTTTCTAACAAAAAAAAACCCATAAAATGGGTAAAAATATTCAGGGACAATAACTCCTGTAAGGAGCCAATAACTTCTATAAGGAGAAGATACCCCTGCTGATCATTTTTACCCTTGATGATGGATGGACGACGAAAATGGACGCCAAGTGAAGATAAGTCTCACATGGCTTTTCAAGCCAGGTAAACTAATAATACATTAAAATAAAAACAGGATTCATGAAAATACTCAACAGTCAATGTCACTGCGGTGAATCCTGTAAGGAGGACATGTATCACACTAGTTAGGAATCTGACCTAATCAATCAAACTGAACATCTATCAATCGAATATGAAAATGATGTCAAGGTTATGTGAACCATGTCATACGGATACATACAAATTACAATAATTCAATAAACCAATTGAGTACTTAAAGCACTTCAAGTTGAGAAACTGACCTATTCAAGAAAACTTACATTTGGTAAATGAACCATTAAAATTAATTCAAGGTCAGAAGAACTGTCAATCAGTCATTACTACTTATAAAAACTAACCTTTTCATGAGATGATATAAATGAACTACGAAAAAAGGATCAAGACCAAATAAGCTTTGACAAGGTCGTGTTTATGTAACAATAATTCTAGACCGAAGGTAGTTGTGGTCCTTTTAATAATAATTGCAAAAAACTGAGATTACTGTACAAACTTAGTATTGACAAATGAACAATGAAAATTGAGGTTAAGATAACATTAAGACTTCAAGGCAAAAGTGTATTACAATGTACATACAATGGTTCCATATACCAAAGATAGTTGACCTTTATTAATATTATTAATTATAGTACTTGAGATATTAACCTAATCATAATTTCTGTCTTGGGGACCAGTAGAGCTTGCAAGGACTCAAACACCAACTCAGTTGACCTATTACTCATAGATGGGGAAAAGATTAATGAATCAAAAAGTTTTTTTATGCAGTCACTGAACCATGAAAATAAGATTGAGAACAATTGACATATGCTAGTGTAAACTCAATGTCTTACATTCTTCAGCATTCTTTGCAAGTGTTACAAAAGAATGCTTCCATTCATGTTGCTTTTTGATTGTGCACCTCATTCAGTTTTATCTATACATAAATATTTTGGCAAAAGTATTTTATGTACCAGTATGTCAATGAAGCTATATTCATAAAGATATGAGGTAAGGGTATATATTTGAATATTTCTACAGTACAATATGAGTGTCATTTTGTGTCACAGGTGTACCTAATGAGCAATATTCAAGACACGTGTTGTTTCAAAGGTGTATCTAATGAACAATATTCAAGACATTTGTTGTTTCACATGTGTACCGAAGGAACAATATTCAAGACACATGTGTTGTTTCACAGGTGTACCTAAGGAACAATATTCAAGACATGTGTTGTTTCACATGTGTACCTAAGAAACAATATTCAAGACACATGTGTTGTTTTACAGGTGTACCTAATGAAGCAGGGGCAAAATTTTTTGTCCACCTTCTACCTCGCTAAGAAAATTTCATAGGCCGATGCGGCACTCCGAAGCAGGGGCAAAATTCAAGACGTGTTGTTTCACATGTGTACCTAAGGAACAATATTCAAGACACATGTGTTGTTTCACAGGTGTACTTAAGGAACAATATTCAAGACACATGTGTTGAGTCCACAATAATCATATTTGCTTCTAATGCCTTCCCCAAATACAGAAATGGCAAAGTTAATGTTGTGATGTATGGGGTTCTAACACCCAAAATATTGTAGGTGCATAAAAAATAATGTTATAAAGATACTGAAATCCATTTACTAGTTCAGGTGGAAAGCAAATACATGACATCCTCAGAATCAAAATAGATAAACTGTGTGTGATTTTAGGTAAACAAGGTTTTCTGAAAATTTCTTTGCAATCCAATAGTGTATGTAGGAGATTTATGAATAAACAGTATGGTCACCTGGCTAGAAAAATGAACTAACACACCCAACAATCACCTCAGTATGCAGGGTACATAAAACTATTGCTATTTAGAATAGTTGAGGAAAGGCCACCTGATTTGAACCGTTGACTTTGAATGATTTTGCATTCATGTTACATTTGTAACTTTCAGTATGTGTTGTGCTACAGTTTTTCACTTGACATAACTTTTAATTAAACCTTGCTAAACTATCATTAAGTTAAAAGGTCAAGTGTAAAAAAAACTTCTTAAACAAGAGTGCACACGCTGAAATGTCTCGCCTTCTTTACTAATCATTGATATTATGTTGATAGTCCTAAATATAAAGCTTTATTTCAACTGTCACATAAACTTAACATTAACCAAGTAAACTAAACATTGACCAATGAACCATGAAAATGAGGTCAAGGTCAGATGAACCATGCCAGGCAGGCATGTACAGCTAACAATTCTTCCATACAACAAATATAGTTGACCTATTGCTTATAGTTTAAGAAAAACAGACCAAAACACAAAAACTTAACACTGAGCAATGAACTGTGAAAATGAGGTCAAGGTCAAATAAAACCTGCGCGACTGACATATAGATCATAAAATATTTCCATACATCAAATATAGTTGACCTATTGCATATAGTGTTAGAAAAAAAGGCCAAAACTCAAAATCTTAACTTTGACCACTGAACCATGAAAATGAGGTCAAGGTCAAATGACACCTGCAAGCTAGACATGTACACCTTACAATCATTCCATACACCAAATATAGTAGACCTATTGCATACAGTATAAGAAAAACAGATCAAAACACAAAAACTTAACTATAACCACTGAACCATGAAAATGAGGTCAAGGTCAGATGACACCTGCCAGTTGGACATGTACACCTTACAGTCCTTCCATACACCGAATATACTTGACCTATTGCTTATAGTATCTGAGATATGGACTTGACCACCAAAACTTAACCTTGTTCACTGATCCATGAAATGAGGTCGAGGTCAAGTGAAAACTGTCTGACGGGCATGAGGACCTTGCAAGGTACGCACATACCAAATATAGTTATCCTACTACTTATAATAAGAGAGAAATTAACATTACAAAAAATATTAACTTTTTTTTTCAAGTAGTCACTGAACCATGAAAATGAGGTCAAGGACATTGGACATGTGACTGACGGAAACTTCGTAACATGAGGCATCCAGACTTTCAAGAAGTTAGCTAACGCTGCTGCCGCCGGATCACTATCCCTATGTCGAGCTTTCTGCGACAAAAGTCGCAGGCTCGACAAAAACTTGAGTTGAAAAAGTACTACCCCTGTAAATAAGTCGGGTATTGCCCGTCACTGCCATTTTTTAGTGGTCTTGTGTTTTCAGTTGATTTGGACTTATGACTTTCTAAATTACCTAAGAGCTTAGTATTTAGTTCCAGTACACCCAAACAAATGACAGAAACTGTTGAATGTAGAGAGTACAAAGCAAACACAGAAGGCTTGATATGTGACAAAGATTTTAATGAAAGCATTATGATGTACATATATATTTGTCATCAGATGTCGGTAAGTTAACTTAACGTTTTAATCAACATAAATACTATTTACTTCAAAAAGTTGTATTTTGTTGATAAAGAAACAATCAAATATGTGAAAGACTTCTGCTTAAATTACTGTACAAGAGTTCTTAACAATAGTTATTAATACTGGCCGTACTTATCTTAGACAAATACAAAATATATTGTTTACAGTTTAAGAGTTACAGTTTAAGAGTAACCTTTGGTTATAAAGTTCTCCAGAATATATGTTTCATATTAAACTTTTCAACTCTAAAACCTTCATTATACAAATACTTCCAAACTGAAATATATTAATAATTTATATATCTTACAGTACTATGTAGAAGTTTTATCTGAGATAATTAATATTGTCTTTAACAAATGTTGGTATATTGATATTTAATTTTTTTATTTCTACAACATCAATAAAATTTTACCAGGCACTAGCAGTGTTTAATATTACAGATACAAACATAGTGTCTACTTAAAATAATACATGTATTATCAAATTTGCAGATAAGCCTGAAATTTAATTGGTTAAAACTTCTTTTCCCCTTGAATACTATATAACTACCGTATTAAAAAAAGTTAAAAATTAACTTGACCCAGAATAAAAGTTATACATGTTTTGTATCTTAATGTGACAAATGTTTGATGTTTTACATTGCTTTATATTAATAAATAATATGTGTCCTTTACTTAAAAACATTGACTTATGTTATGTTGAAGTTAAAGGTACACCAAAAAATAATCACGTTTAGAGTTCAATTATGCAATATCATTACATTAGTTTCAATATAATACCTCTATTTCCACATAAAATAAAAACATTATGACCTCATTCAATAATAGGTGTTGTTAGGAAGAGAGACGTCATTCAATAATAGGCGTTGTTAAGACTTTGTCAACGAAATTTCATCAAAATGAAGTGAGAATGCTTTGTTTCATCAAAATGAAGTGAGAATTAGCTTTGTGCATTTTCTACTTTCTATTTACATTAAAGGTCAATGAATTAAAACAAACAAATAATTCATGAATTCAAATATCGAAAAATATTACAAATTCATGACCAAACAACATGGACTATGCCCAAACACATGTAATTAACTCTTGGACTATGCCCAAACACATGTAATTAACTCATGGACTATGCCCAAACACATGTAATTAACTCATGGACTATGCCCAAACACATGTTTTATGTTATACAAGTGGTAAGACTTTATTAAAATATTGAATCTGAATCTGTAATTAACCCATGGACTATGCCCATTAGTGAATTAATGTGTGGTTTGATCACTTGGTGCATATTTAATGACATTCAAATTCTTAGATTATCTATTTTATAAGTACATGTAATTTTATTTGGATATTGTGTTATCAGGTAAGAAGTATAAGTTCCAATGTATATACTTCTACTTATGAACTAAGGCTACTATATACTATATGTTTAAGAAACTTTATCAAGTTCAACAAAATACATAGGATTATTGATAATCTTCATCAAATGAATCTTGAACATCATAGAATTCCTTCAGTGATTGTCTAACAGGTCAATATAATGTTATCTTTGAATCAAAAACCAATTAATTTATTGATTTACATTATGTACAAATGAACAATAAACTTTACTACCATAACTTATAATACATAAACTCAATCCTCTATAAAATGCACACATTTGACACATATTGCATAGTCACTTTAATACAACCATTCACAGTCACAACAAAAATACTGTAGATTCAGAAATTACTACTTCCAATCAACAAGAGCTGGAAATACTGGGAGATTTATATATTAGTCATTCAAATGCAGAAAGTTGTAATAGAAACTAAAAATAAATAAACTGCTTCGCTGAGTGCAGCTAGATACGCCCGCAGAGGTCCAACCCTGAACAGTTGGGGCAAAAATGGACACAATATTCAAGCTTGATTCAGGTCTGAATTAGGATTGTGATTAAATATTTGACATATTATAGGTTTCTGAATAAATGTAGTCAAAGAACTTGAAATTGGTTATATGAATTGAATTTATATTCAATTAAAGATTTCTTGCTGTTGTGCAATACTTAGTAAATCTGTTGTCAGACTATTAACAAATAAAGTTCAATTAATTCTCAATGTCATATTAGAAATTAATGAAAATAAAAAGGGAGCTTACATCAATAGATATAAACAATTCACCAAAGTTTCATGAGAATTGGTGACAGCATTATGAGTTATTGTCCGAAAACTGAAAAATCACCCTTTTTTTTAATGAATAAAACCCCATAACTCAGAAATGTAAAATGTAAAATTTAAAAATTTTAAAGGGAGCTAATACCAATACATACAAACAATTCACCAAAGTTTCATAAGAATTGCTGAAAGCATTCTTGATTTATTGTCCGAAAACTGGAAAATCCCCCTTTTTTTAATGAATAAAACCCCATTACTCAGAAACGTAAAATCTAAATTTTATAAAAAACAAAAGGGACCTCACGTCAATAGATATAAACAATTCACCAAAGTTTTATGCAAATTGGTTAAAGCATTTTTGAGTTAATGTCCGACATGTTGACGACGGACAGACGGACGGACGGACAACGGTATACCATAATACGTCCCGTAAACGGGCGTATAAAAATTATTTATCTTGTTTTAGCATGAGTCTGTTGTGTAACCCTCATCTCTTATTTTCATTGAAAAATAATACATTACAAAATTATCTGAATTTACAGGGGTTTTTTTGTGAGCAGGATATTAAAATTTATTGATACTACCTTAAGCACTCTGTTATGTTGATGCTGTGTACCTTATGTTTTAATATGAAAATTTGTTCAAATATAAGAAATCACCATGCTTGTATATTAATAGAAAAATTGTAGCTATCATGTATTATAAGACATCATTAAGTTGCTTTATAGTGTCTTACTTGTCCTAAAAAGCTTATATATTTCTTAAATGTAAATTGTGAATAACAACTGATCAGTAGGCAATATAATCTTCTCATACAATATCTTCTGTATGCATTTTATATACACAGCTGATAAGCACATCCAAACATTTTTTGAAAGCCAACATATTTTTTATCATATCAGTATTATTATTGAGGAAATACAGTGCATAAAGGAGAATAATGGAGAATCAGTTTGATGATTACAACAAACAACCATTATTATTGTGTAGTCTTCAATGCACCTCTCCTCGTTATTCCATTGATCATAAGTAAAAAGTGAGGGTTAAGATCTCAATCAACTAATTTAACCTTGTTCATGTACCTATCCCTAGTTAGGAACGTCATTAGTTATTGTTTTTAGTTACCAGTATAACTTATTTTTGTCTATTAGGGAATTTAATGATAAGATAGATCTCAAATAAATGTTGGATCATATGTGGACCTGTACCCTTTTTGTTTGTTGTTTGTATGGTTGCTGTCTTATAGACATATCCCCATGCACTCGCTTTTATTCATATCATTCTGGTCTATTATCTCACTGGTTCTGCATTAGTATAAATGAGTAGATGTGGTTTGATTGCCACTGAGGTCTGCTTTTCACCAATATTATCTTAAATTTATATGATGCTAAATGGAATTTTGTACTTTTCTCATGGTCAATGTGAAGAAAAATCTACTTTGAATCTTTATATTCCTTCATTATTCGTAACCAGGATTTTACATAGTTAAAAATAATACATCTTTGAGATATTTTATGTTGAAATGATACTAATTGTATATGCACATTATAATTTCCATTGACATAACCACTATTTTTTATCCTATTTTATGAAAAAAAGGAGCCAAAAAAGAACTGCTTACCCTATTACTTTGTAAGCAAGCAAAATTGTGATATTTTACGATGAATTTAATATCATAAACCTATTTCAATTAAAGACACAGTTGTACAATAAAAATGAGATCTAAATTTTGGTAATTTATACTGAACAATACAGAAGATTACAATACTTAATTATCATTTTAAAAAAGTATTATTTAATAGTTTCTTAGAATGGCCCTTTTCATGAACATGATGAAGAAACGTCCATAAATAGATACAAACAGAAAAGGGTAAATCTATATGTTATATCTACATTCACAATGTCTATACTTTAAAACAAAGAAAATGAGATTTGAAAATAGTCCATTTCATATAACATAAGCTGCAATTACGTTGTTACAACAGGGGAAGTAACTGCACTGGTTGGACAAACTGATTTACTACTATAGCAAACTCATTGAAGTAAGCATGTTGTAGCATGCAATACCAGTCCAGAATGTAAATTGTGTAAATGTATGAATACTTTAGGATTTATTTTCATTATAATATTACATAAGTGGTTCCAAAATTATAAATCTTTGAATAATCTGTATTCATTAGGAAGCATGTAGCAGTCAACCAGTTTGTCAAACCAGATCAATGCATTACTTCTCTTGTCAAAAAATACTATAGAATCAACTATGGTTATAACATAAAACTTTTCACACATACCATCTTTATTAAATGAATTCCTGATGGAGACTCCTAGGAAGTTATTTTTCACAAATATTTCACACGATATGAAAGGCAATAATATGAAATAATAAAATGTACCAAAAGCACTTCCCTGAATATAGGCTTTATTTGGAGTAAATATATCAAGCACCACAGAGACTTGCAAAAGAAATGTGATATAATATATGCTGAGTTAACAGGATACTTCTTTGATTTTTAATAAGCCCTCATATGTGTATATGACTATATATTGAAATTGCATATTCTTTTACAGAAGTTGCACTGTAAAAAATGGTGAAACTTCAACAACTTATGGAATGAATGTTTAATGTAAAATTAGACAGCTGTACAATACAAATTAAAATATGTTGTGTGGATTACAAAACTTCTGGTCAGCAAATTTCAAGTAATATTAACTGTGTAAGTATTGAACTAAGAAATGCCTTAAATCTCTTTAAAAAGATGTTTTAGTAACATAATGAAAATAAATGAAGTGAAACTTGTACTGAAATGATTGATTTAAATAATCTGTTTCTAATAAAATCACCATTCCTCAAAAAGCAATCATAAATTTACAATTTAAAACCTTGCATACAAATTATTATAATTCATCCCAACTTCTTATATACATTGGTATTATGCATCTAAAATCACACTTAGCATACAATTTATAAACATTATATACAATACATGTTTATAATACAAATCTATTAAGAATAGCTGCCTGATTTAAGTTCTAAGAACTGACTAGTTAACTATGCATTCTTAGCAATATGGGATAGAAATTAAATCAAATGATAAAACATTCTATATATATGTACTTACTTTTGTTTAAAGAGTTTCAATTTTGGATTGGCTTATAGAAAAATGTAATTGATCTAAAGTGTTCATTTTCTAATTCAAGTTTTTGACACCAAAAAAAACATAGTCTATGGTCTTTCCTTATCTAAATTACAATGTAAGTATTTGATCTGCAAAAAATTAAGAATTTAATGTACATCTGTCCACAACATAATAAAATTTTGTCAAGTTCTTAAAAATTGTATACTGTTGGAGACTGCTAACAATCTTACTATTAAATTATAATATTTTCAAGGTACAAATATAAAAACAAATAAATGGTAATTACTATTTTCCTACTAGTTTCTATCCCATACAGTAAGTTTTGTCAATAGACTAGGGATGAAGTACTTCAAATCTATCAACAATAGACTCTTCGTTAAAATGATCTTGAACATGTTTTTCAAAGTCTGCTAGTGGCAGTGTATTTGCGAATGATTTATTACACATAGGACATATTCTATCTACACCATTTGAATCCTCTCCTACAGTAGGATTCTGAAGAGTTTGTGGTGGATCATCGTCTCCATCATCAATACATTCAAACACATGTTGCTGAAAGTCTTCCATAGGCATATTAGGAAATTGACGACTGCATACAGGACATACCTGTGCAGTCAATTTTGGTCTATTAGCATCAGTCACATGACTTGATTCTATCACAGCAGTTGATTCTTTCACACCTACATCATTAGCTGGTGTATATACACTTTGGGAGTTATCCGTAATTTGTCGTGATACTAAAATAGATGGTGAAAATTTACTGCCAACTTCAGAAGGCATATAATTTCTACTTGAATTATCAACAGACACTGGGTAATTATACGACTTTGAAAAATCATTATTAACACCAGAACGACCTTGTCCAAACAATGTATCACCTTGACTTATTGTATTATTACCATCATCTGATGGTGAAAGAACAGGTGATGAGTTTGCCTTTGAAACCACAGCTTCGTTAAATATTCTAGAATTATTTATAGCAAAAGTGGAATCTTTTGGTCGGGCACCAGAACCTGTTATAAACTGTACAGAATTATCCCCATATTTTGAAGGGGAACTATGAACAAATGAAGTAGAAGGCCATGATGAAGCTGGATCCCTGCACACTGTGGCAGAAGTTCCATCTGCTGGTACCCTTACATTGTTTGATGAAACTGAAAAAACAAAGAAAATATATACAGGCCTGGATGACATGAATAAAATATATGTAAAGGGAAGAATATGAATAGTTTTTTTGTGAAAACACAAGCATGGAAAAACAAATACAAAATAATTAAATTGTTTGCTTTTTGTAGTAAAGACTGAGGTATGAGAGAATATTTATGAGTAAAATGTTATGTTTTTTTTTGTTTTTCTTCCAGTACAATTAAGCGTTGCACTGAAAGAAATTAAGCTTGGACTGCAGTTCTTGTACAGTGTCCCTGTAAGACTGTTAGCATACACATTGTTTGAAACAGGGCTAAAAATGCTTTTTTTCTGTATTAAATCTTTAAAAAATTCTGTACAAATAATTTACTCAGGGCATTGCATAGGAATGATTCTTCCTTATGTTATGTTATGAAATCTTCTTCTTCTTCTTCTTATGGTATCCAGTTATCCATCAGATTTTTGATGATTACTAACTGTTGCGCATGCGTAGGATAATAATAAATAAATATTTACAAAAGAATAGTGCCAAAAATAAACAAATACTAACATGACATGTGGTTAAAACTATATACATAACTACTAGGTTTACTGTTCTATATTGTAGAGAACAGTAGGTGTCAACTGTTCTCTAAAAATATTTAGAGTGGGAGAAAGTACTACCTTTGGAGGTAGTACATTCCTTTGTGTAATAGTAAATGGAAAAAATGAATATTTGTAGCAGTCTTTAAATGTAAGTAGGTGTCTGTAAGTTTGTGGATGAATTTGTCGGGTTCTGTTGTCTGTTGGTATGAGTAATTCTGATGGTACTGTGGGAGAAAGTACTACCTTTGGAGGTAGTACATTCCATTGTGTAATAGTAAACGAAAAAAATGAATATTTGTAGCAGTCTTTAAATGTAAGTAGGTGTCTGTAAGTTTGTGGATGAATTTGTCGGGTTCTGTTGTCTGTTGGTATGAGTAATTCTGATGGTACAGCGACAATATGGTGAACAATTTTATAGAACATTATAAGTCTAGTTTTAAGTTTGCGTTGTTGTAAGGTAGGCCAATTTAGAGTATTGAGCATGTCTGTAACGCTACTGGTGTTGTGATAACGATTACAGGCATACCTAGCAGCCCGACGTTGAACCATCTCAAGTTTATTGCATTGTTCAGCAGTATGAGGGTTCCAAACCGAACAAGCATATTCTAGTTTTGGTCGGACAAGTGCTAGGTACGCCTGAGACTTAATGTTTGTGATGGATGTTTTTAGATTTCTTTTTAGAAAGCCTAGGCTTTTATTAGCATTACCAATGATGTTGTTTGTATGCTGGGTCCATTTTAAGTCGAATTGCAGTGTTATACCAAGAGACAGATTCTAGGGTATGGCTGTGAAGGATGTAGTCGTGTTTAATTGTATTTTTCTTGTTTGAGGCAGTGAGAACTGTACATTTGTCAGGATGGAAAGCCATCAGCCAGTCTTCTTCCCACTTTGCAGCAGCATCAAGATCTTCCTGAAGGCTATCACAATCTTTTTTAGATTTGATGCTTTTGTAAATGATGCTGTCGTCTGCGAACAGTCTGAGTTTACTGGATTTCAAATATTCTGGTAGGTCGTTTATATATACCAGAAATAGAACGGGACCCAGAACTGTTCCCTGTGGGACACCAGAAGTAACTGGAGCAACATCTGATGACTCTCCATCCAGGACAACTGTTTGTGTGCGGTTGGATAAAAAGGCAGAGATCCAGTTAAGTGTTTCATTTTGTATACCATAGAAATGTAGTTTGTATAAGAGTCTTTGATGTGGGACTTTGTCAAAGGCTTTGGCAAAGTCCATAATTATGAGGTCTGTTTGGGTGTTATTATCTGAATTTGAAGCTAGTTCTTATATGAAAGATAGAAGTTGTGTTTTACATGATCTAGAGTGTCTGAAGCTGTGCTGGAGGTCGTATAATAGGTTGTTTTTTTCTAAGTGGTTAATTAAGTGTTTTGTTATGACGTGTTCCATTAGTTTGCAACTGATACAAGTGAGAGAGATTGGTCTGTTCTTAATTATAGCTGTCGCTATAAGAGTGTTGGCATGATGTACCGGTATACATCAACAGGTTAAAGACTTTTAGCTTCCTTTAAGTTCTGGGATCATTCTTTGATATGATACTGTCTTAATTGGTGTTTTTAATGTCTATAATACTGGTGTATTAAGAAATCAGAGCTTCCTTTCAGTTCTGGGATCATTCTTTGATATGGTGCTGTTTTACTTTGTGTTTTTAATGTCTATAATACTGGTACATGTGTAATAAGAGATCAGTGCTTTTTTTGACCTGATTTTTGTGTGGATTTATGACTGAACTTTGGTTGCAATTTTTTTTCCAATGGAACTTCACAGATTGGGCATTGTTGGGACTGAAAGGGAGAGAACTGAGTACTCAAAAAGCTATTTAAACTCATCCAAAGTTCTTGTGTTTGTCCCAAGTCAGGAATCTGGTCAGTAGTTTAATTTATATCTTAATGGATAATTTGATGTTGATGGTAAATCTTTGATGGACTCTGCTAAATCTATTACCTACTTGTGTACACTCAGTGTATTTACAATCTTTGATGGACTCTGCTAAATCTATTATATAATTGTCTACACTCAGTGTATTTACAATCTTTGATGGACTCTGCTAAATCTATTATATAATTGTCTACACTCAGTGTATTTACAATCTTTGATGGACTCTGCTAAATCTTTACCTACTTGTCTACTCTCAGTGTATTTACAATCTATGATGGACTCTGCTAAATCTATTACCTACTCGTCTACATTCAGTGTATTTACAATCTTTGATGGACTCTGCTAAATCTATTACCTAATTGTCTACTCTCAGTGTATTTACAATTTTTGATGGACTCTGCTAAATCTATTATATAATTGTCTACACTCAGTGTATGTACAATCTTTGATGGACTCTGCTAATTCTATTACCTACTTATCTACACTCAGTTTATTTACATGATCAAGAATATTGTAGAGACTTTTTTTTTGTTGATGACCATATGTTGACCTTTTAATGACTTTAAGTTTTTGTGTCACGATCATTATCAAGATTAAAAGCAATTTCAAAATCGATAATGTGATACCAGTAACTAAAATTATCAAATAACTAAAGTTTTAAAATCACCTTTACACATGGTACATGTTATGCTCTGACAAGAAACTCAAATCTATGGATTTATTAATTCCCATACACTAAATTAGGGATATATATAAAGGATTATTCTTTTCTTGAACATTACAACATGTTGTACATACTGTATGTGCACAGTACTAAACATATTTTAATTCTTACCTGCACGCCTTTTAAGATCTTGAATTATATGCCCTTGTTTTTGTATTGTTTCGGTTTGTATCTTTAATTGCTGTAAAAATTGCTTTAACGTCTTCTTGTGTTTATCAATTTCAAACAAAATTTGTTTACTTTCTTCAACAGTCAATAAAGTCTGATCTTCATTCATACGTGTATTATAACCAGATTCAGGCCATTCTCTATCACTGATTGTCATTATTTTTTGTTCATATCCCTTGGAAACAGTTTTTAATCTTTCCATTAAAGCAGATATATGCTCATCTTTCTCACGCATTTCAGTCTTCAATTCTTGAATTTTTCTTGTAAATGGTTCAGTCATAATATTAGGATCTTTCTGCTTCTCTAGTTGCTGGAGCTGTATATCCCTTTCTTGCAATAGTTGCTTAAAAGTTAATATGTCTCGATTTAAAGTATTTATTTTTTCTGATAATTGAATATTTTTTGCATTCAGTTCAGTATTCTTTTGAAGAAGTTGTGACGATTCAATTAAGTTACTTTGTCCAGTATTATTTTTATTATATATCAAACTTTGCAACTTATTTTTTAAATCTTTATTTTCATTTTCTAATGTAATTATTTTGGCCTGTGCCCTCATTAGTTGTCTTTGAACACTCTCTGCATAACCAATCTGTGCTTTGACCTGGGCCATTTGGTCATCTTGATCGGCCCCCGGTGAAGCACCTACAGGTCCAGCTGCACCAAACATATTTGAATTATTTCTTGTACTTTGTCTTGAATACTCCATGTCTCTGATTGTTTGTTGTAAAATATCATTCTGTGATTTTACTTGTTGATGACGTCTTTTCATATCCTCATACGCTTGAAACAAGGCATGATGCGAGGCTTGCGGATTTTCTTCTGTTCCTGATTTTATCACAAAAGTTGGTGGAGAATCCAGATTATGATGACCTTCTGAAGGGTCAATTATATCTATATCTTCATCCTTATCTGTCATCATAATTTTTTTCTACATTTCTCTGCAAAAGAAAACAAAAGTCAAGAGTGTATAAAATAATCAGAAAATTATATCCATTTTATTTTCTTATTCTAATCTGATCTTGTGTTTGAATTACTCAATGTTACAATGTAAACATATAATGTAATATTTCTTATACACATGAAGAAAATAAATGGGGAATGTGTCCATGGGACACAGATAATGCCCCCGCTTGCATATAACATTATAAAGGGACATAACTCAAGAACTGTAAAAGTGATGCTACCCAAATTTGTACTTGATCTGAGTTTTGTCGTAAAAGTATTGTGTTTATGTTTCATAGCATTTGGTTGAGGCAAACTGAAGTTAGAGAACGGAAATGAAAAATTCAGCAATTTTTCCCTCTGTAAAGGGGCATAACTCTTGAACAGTAAAAGTGACGCCACCAAAATTCAAAAAAGATCTGTGTTTTGTGGTAATAAGCATTGTGTATAAGTTTCATAATATTTGGTTGAGGCAAACTAAAGTAAGAGAACGGAAACAAAAAATTAAGCAATTTTCCATTTGTAAAGGGGCATAACTCTAGAACGGTAAAAGTGACACCACCCAAATTCAAACCTAACCTGTGTTTTGTGTTAATAAGCATTGTGTATAAGTTTCATAACATTTGGTTGATGCAAACTAAAGTTAGAGAACGTAAACCAATTTTGGGACGTACGGACGGATGGACGTACGTACAGACGGACAAGGGTAAAACTTAATGCCCCCTCCACTACGGCGGGGGCATAAAAAAAAACCTAACATCCTTGCTCATAACAGTTTAAAACTTTTCTAATACAAGTTATATTCTTTTTAGCATTAAACAGTTAAACCCACAATGTTCAAATTGTAAATAATTGTATAATCTTATTCATTCAATGAATACATGTATATAAAGGTGCAATTAAACAAATGATTTGAAGATCATGGATACATGTTAAGCTCAGAATATCTGTATCAAATAATTAACCCCTTGTTTAATTCCCTTAAAAATATATATATTTTCACATGTAGATGGGTTATTTTATTGTTTACTCTCTTATTTGTTGTTTAATTAAATCCTTTAAGCAACTGTATATCATAAATCAATTATTTTACTTCTCAAGCATGTTAAGTACATTGTAAAAAGCAATTTTTTGTCCATCTGTTATGTTATGCAGCAATATGAAAATAAGTTATTTCCCTTTGAATATGTAAATTTCTTTATTCTGATGAATGTAGTCAAACAATTAGGTAGAAGATAGCATTCACTCAAAGCTGTCCATCATTCAACTCATAATACGGTCTCCTCGGACACGGTAATGATTATATAATATTTATATAATATTTTGGCTTATTAAAAATTTTGCAATGTTAACTTTACTATACAGGATGCTATATATGTTAATAAAAACATATCTGGACTACAGGTTTCTTAATATATAGAAACTTAAAATAAGCATGATAAGAGAATGTAGTATGATCTTTAGTTTGTTGTTATTTTAGTTGGATTGCTGTCTAATTGACATATACCCCACTTTTCCTATTATTTCTACTGATTGTCTTTCCCATAACTCTAGCTGTGAGAAATTTTGATATTATATTATACTGTTGTACACTGACAGCAATCTTCTGACATAAATTTACCCTAGAAAAAAATGTGTTTAATCCTTACAATTTTCAACCCAAACAGTTACAATTTTTAATCAATATATTTTTTCATTGTCTATTATTTTCTGTCAAATCAACAACTGCCATGTAGTAACTAAGGAGAGAGCCACCATATTGACTAGCTGAAATCCATAAATATTCGAATGATGTAATAGAATCGAAAATGAAACAACACATATCTCAAAAACTCTAAGATCATTCATGAAATTTTGAGGAATTTTGATTTTATTTTAATTTAATACGTCTTTCAAAACTCTAATGCGTTATTTCTTTTTGCTATGCATTAGAAGGGGAATAACAGTTATGCAATTATTTTTCAATTTCAATTTTCTTGAAACCCAGCATCCCATGCATGTGTACTGCTTTTAATCAGATCACAGTGAAATCGACAAACTGTTTACATAGGTTACAAAAGTAGAATCAGCAACATGGTTTATCATGTGGTAAACGGACAGAAAGTCACAGGACAAAAAGTCACAGGACATAAAGTCACAAATTTGATAGGACAAAAAGTCACAGGACAAAAAGTCACAAATAATTTGTTGACAATTGTTTGAATATACATGTATAAGAGAAAGATCTTGAAATATTTTCTTTTTATTACATATATTCATTTTTAAGTTTAGGAAATTGTTCATAAGCCTTGATAATTGAAAATTTATTAAATTTTAATCATGCAATGGATATATTTCTTGGCACAATGAAGCCATTTAAGTACCAAGTCACTTTGACATTTAGTTTTCATAACAATTATTTGATCATCATGGATATTTATTGAATTAATTTTAATTACAAAGTTGCTTCATATATAATTGTTCAAGAAAAAACAAAAAATTTATTTTTTAAATTAGTGTTTTCTTGTTTAAAGAAATATAATCTCAAAACTGAATTGTGACTTTTTGTCCTGTGACTTTTTGTCCGTGACTTTTTGTCTGTGACTTTTTGTCCTGTGACTTTCTGTCCTACATTCTATCATGTCTATCCAAGTTTGAAAATCAAGGGAAAAATTCCAAAGATCAAATCCCATTCAACTATTTGTAGATATGCAAATCATATCAGAATTATCAATATTTATTTTTTTCAAACCTACCCATAACATTCCATTCATCTTCATACATTGTACTTTTTGATATTCAACCTGTTTTTATCAAGAAGTCTATCCATCAATAAACCATTTTTCTGATAAAAGTCAGTGCCATACATATGCAAGCAGCAACATGAATTTAAATGCCAAGGATCCCAAACTAGAGACTGGTACATATAAGTCTTTGCTGTGTAAAATATCAGATATATCAGATACTTTGTAGAAAATTCACACTAAATCTGTTGAAGATGCATTTCATTTTATCATTAATTGTCAAGCATACAAAGGACAGGGAAATATTATTCAACGAGGTTAAAAATACAGTTCATAATTTTTTCAAATATCTGAAATGATGTAATGTCAGTTTATTTGTGGTGTTGCCCACCAAGGACCCTTAATTGGAGCAATAATCTTTATTCTTATCTTTTTATTCATGTTCAAAAATCTATATGTTTTTAACACATCTCATTTTTAAAGGAAATAACTTGGAGATATGAGCTTTATACTGTATGAAGACTTACAAGTATGTAACTTACAAAACAAAAATGTCTTTATCAAGGCGTCCTGTCTTCCTTGTTTTTCCTGTGTATTTCTTCCTGATAAAGAAAAAAAAATATTTGAATTTATTTTTAAAACATTGTAAATGAAATCTTAAATATATTCATACATAATAATGTTAAAACCAGAATTTCATTCCTTAATTCAAAATTAAGTTTCGTATTGATTACATAAGGTATAAAACACTAGCTGCCACCTTGGCACAAAGTTGTAACATGTTGACTGACATTCATCATTTAAAAAATACAAAAATGTGGACTTGCATGTACAGGCTTTCATTTTATCAAACAAAAAACCAACATGTTTTTCTTGAAAGGGGGCTGCAATATATTTTTGATACATATTCTACATGTAACATTGCCAGACCTGCTTCACGATAGGTGTTGACCTTAATTTTGAAATTCTTCATTATATAAACTAAACACCTCAAAACAGGCATTCAAATGAGTAAAAAACCCTAATGACAATTAGGTCCTCTTGCTCTTACAATCTGACATGGAGATTTTGAAAAGTTGGCAGGTATGCGTTACATATCAACATGACATACAAAACAAGTGGTAAATTTCTTTGTTTCTTCATTAGAAGTATATTCTGTTCATCGATCACTATAACAGAGAAGATGCAATTAATTCTAAAATTAACCTTTTTAATCTTTTTATTTGTCATACCAGGATTTAGCTGATAAAACTAGGTTAAAATATACAACTAGTTATTAAGAGTGAAATATTGGGGTCATCGATCTTAAAAAGATTTTTTTATAAATAGTGTGCAGTGCAATCAACAAGAATTTCATCAATTCAATTGCACAAAAAACTTCTTACCATTATGTTGAAGAAGTTAATAACTTAAACTAAAGGATCTTATATTACTTGCAATTGTTTTACATAACCACTTTAAAATACATGACTGATAAGTAGTTCCCCCTTAAAATGGTCCAGCATGTAGTAACAACTGTTTGTCTATTTAATTTGAAAACAAACCTTCATGCATATCTAATCAGAAACTGCATCATCATTATATTTAACCACAAAATCAATTACGTCTTATGATTCTCTTAATATCACAACATCACAAATCTTGTATGATATTTGTTTTCTTTAAGGACATTACTTCCTGGACTACTTAGATATATATAAAGTATACAATCACTTCAAAGTACAGTGAAAATTCATCTACCATATCAAATGTACATATGATTATCATGCAAAAGTGAAAGTAGAATAATTTTTGACATATTTATAAGAGATCAGGCAATGTCTTGATCTTATTTGCATTCCATTTTATACATATGTACAATATGGAAAAATTGTTTCAAATGGTTTCATAATTACCTGATATCCACAAAATCATGTTCATTGGTAAAAAAAATGAAAGAAATATAAACAGTATAGCTGGCATCACTAAATATATATAATGTACATTATTATGCTTCAAAGAAAGCAATGTATTCTGAGTAAGGCTTGAACTATTTGTTGTTTATCTACATATTATGTGTTTATTGATTTGTATCATCACAATCACATGTATGCTTCTATATGTGTATAAAGGTGTGGATGGGTGTGTATTAGTGGCAATCTTTCAAGTGAATCATTCAAGTAAACCCTGTCTTTGCCTACTCATTAAAATATGAACCCTTTTATAACAATATCATTCAAACAGGTCATTTTCATTGACCCAAAGGTACAATGTGTGCATTTGAATAAAAAAATATATAGGTATTTACATTTGATTTAAAATCTTTAAACTTGACATTGTGGTATAAAAAAGTAAATTGGAAAGTTTGTATAGTCAAATGACTTCAAATCATTTTATTTCATATTTTCAATGTCCAAAGTCACAAAACAAATTTTGTTTATATGATACATGTACACACATACTGATACATAGTTGTGTTACTTGTGTAATGTGTAAATGTGCACATCACATCATATAGGTTTCACATCGTACATCCAGGTATATGACATGGCAACTTAATTGAGATGGAAGTAAACAATCTTCTGACTTACTTTGAGATGTTTTTATCCACATGACCACACATTAAGTGTGGGCTATAACGTTTCTTTAGTTTCTCTTAATCCAAAAATTAAATCACAACACACATTTTTGGCTTCACACCCTTTTTTTATTTCACGCACTATTTTATGAACTTATCTATAGATTATAATGTTGTACGATAGTGATTGTACTTTTTAATCCGATTTTAAGAAAATAACAAAGCAAATCGTGTGCTTCGTGTGGGTGTGTTTGTGACACACCTGTTAGTGTTAACGAAATAATATAGTGTGGACGTGGTTCATTACGTACTCCTTTGCACTCGTCACATCTTTGGATGTTTGACCACTAACTTTGTAAGATGATTTTCATTACCAATGACATAAATCGGAATTTTAATTAGGTCACACAACAACATTATACATTATGGAGTCATTTTTTGGGAAAACCGGGAAATTTTGTTTTATAGAGTGACGTCCCTTACTTCACTATTACCGATTTTAAAATATGCTGTTTTATATTATCGCTATTAATATTATTATAATTATTATTATGTATTGTCTGATAATGCAGTTATGCGGGAAATAAAAATAAGAAATTCCTCAGCAACACAATTCCCTCAAAAAATACTGAACTGCTACTACGGTATAGAAACGTTATTTCTCGTTATTTTTCCATCGACTTGTAGAACATTTTCCTAAGGGAAACAACTCTCAAATGTCGAGACGAACTTTATCCCTGCCGATGCAAACATTACGTAAAGAGCGTGTAACTGATATACCCAGGTTCTGTAAGGAGCAAAAATAATTCTCTAGCTTGAGCAAGAGAAAATCGAAATTCGCACATTTGTATACTTGGGACTGTACTGCAAATAATACTTTACTACTAACTTACCATATTTTTAAAAAGTTTTTATGAATATAATTCTTGAGGGTGTGGATGGGGGCGGGTTACAGAATAGAGAATAATGGGCAATAAATATAAAGAATATAGAAAAATGGGCCAAAAAATAAAGAATAGAGAATAATGATCAATAATGAGGTGCTAAAATATAAAGAATAGAGAATAATGGGCAAAAAGTATAAAGAAGAGAGAAAATTGGTCTAAGAAATTAAAGAATACAGAAAATTGGTCTAAGAAATTAAAGAATACAGAAATGGACCCCACCCAGACCCTCATTCATAGTTACAATGTTAAAATTGACTTTGACCTACAGTTTAATAGTCCCAGCTTTGACACTTCCATGACATAAACATAAAATTCAATGTTAAAAAGTCATCAACTTGATCTAGTCCAAATAATTATGACGTCTTAAAAGGTTATTTTGATTTTTTTGCTAAGCGTCTTAGGAAGGCTTCAAAATATTGTTTTTAAATTGCCTTTCAAGAAGTCATAATTATTGGATCAAATTTAATTAGGATTTCAATGATATTAGGAGAAACCAAACATGTAAACATCCCTTTAACTTGTATTGTATTAATAACTTTACCGCCCCCAAAAAAAACAAACAAAAAAACGAATAACAAAAAACAAACAAAACCACCCAATAACACCAATAAAAAAAACACATCATCATTTGAAATAATTAAAAGATTTGTAGGTGAACTCAAGGATTTGAACTATTGACAAAATTTCAACCTGCACTTAATTTATCCTAGGTTACATATTTCACCTCTCAGGCAGGTAGAAGCTTTTGTTATCTGGCGATCATCGACGGTAAATGTATCCAATTTAAATAAACTTGAAACGATTATTTCTACGGTGTCATAATTTAGTTTGTTAACCATATTATGGTCCATCATCCAACATGGCCACCTTTGATAAAAAATGGAAGAAAGTGGTAAAATGTCTTATATCTTGGTAACCATCATTATGGAGATATGAATAGCAAGACATGACTCCCATATTATATCTACCATTTAAAACAGTTATAAAGACTATTGGACAAGTAAAGTGGCTGAAGAACTTCCATACAAGGTTTAGTATAACTATACACTCTTCATTTCTACCAAAATTATTAGACGATTCCTGTTATGTATTATTGCCCTAAAAAGATGGTATTTTACCAATTTTCATCATTTTTATGATGTTATAAATATAAAAGTTGTCATGGGTGTAACTGTTACAGGTAGAGAGAAGCTGTAAACACTAAAAATGATTAGCATTTTTCAATATCTGCAAAAATGCCAGTATGGGTAAAACTATTAATAGACCACTTGTAGGTTTATTGTCCTTAAATGCATTCTTTTATTATCTTGAAAATTGTAATGGATAAATAGAAACTATTAACAACAGACCATTATCAACAATACTGTTGAATATCTACAAATATGGCAATATGAAATATATACTATTCTAACAAAAGCCCTTAGAAGGCAATGCTTTTTCCATATGTAGTGAAATTGGATATACACGGTATCAAAATAAAAAAAAACTGGTCTTATGTTTACAGGGTGTTGTTTTCTCATCAAAACCGTTAATTTAAGCCAAAATGAGAAATGTTTTATTTGCATATTTATTGATTAAAAAAATCACCCAAGTTTTAAAAAACGATATTTGCACTTAAAGCTTGAAATATTCCTTCACAGATTTTTAATAATTAACTCTCATGTTCGAAATTGGAAGCACAGTTTGGGTTCCGATTTCTTTATCGGTTATTTTCCTCAATACAAATTTTAGCATATTATTCAATAACACGGTATTTTCTAATTTTTCGACTTCAGGTTCAGATTTTCTAAATCTTAATCTTAAGCACTCGCTTTAAATTATTCAAAATATTTCATATTTATCCCATTCTTTGATAAATTCTACATCAAAATTTTGTATCGTTTCTTTTGTTGACATTACAAGTGAAGCCAACGAATGAGACTAACACACAACCAGGGGATCGAAGTATCCCCCTAACTAATCCGACATCTTTTATAAAAAACGGTTAAATATTCATAAATCCTGATCTTGGAATTTTAAAATGTTCGCTCCCGTCAATCTCTCTATCTATTACTTGAAATAAATTCGGCCGCCTATGGGCGAATTATTTGCAAAGTTGCCAGAAATTGTGTCCAGTTTGCGTGCATTCGAAGCAGTGCGTATTATGGGGTTTTACTCTCCCCAGAAACATTACGCAATACATAGTCCCTCATTCAGACCGGTACACCTAATCTATGTAATAATCGGGTTAAACTCTGGTGTATTCGTTTCGACCGGTACATCTAATCTATGTAGTGTTAAACTCTGATGTATTCGGTTCCGACTATGTAGTGTTAAACTCTGATGTTTTCGATTAAATTAGTCATGACTTACCATTATATCTTGCTTTCTCCTTTACGAATTTTATTAAATACGGAAATAGCAAACATTTCTTAAGTGGAAGATTTTGAAAATCATTCCTTATAAGTTTCCGCTTTTATTGTAAAAAGCTGCCGGTTATAATATCATTTAAAAAAAAATACACATTTCACAAAATTGACCTGTTTCAGCAACAACCGCGTTAAACTTGCAGGCCATTATAGTATAGCTAAAGTAGACCATCGTTTTCTATTATAAATAGGAAAATCTATGAAAAAAAGTTATTACGATCATAAATACCACAAACATAGATGAATAAAAAAATGTAGACTGAAGAGACACCATGATGGGAATAAGAATTTATTTGATGTTGTACCGTTCTGATCATCTTGCCGAAGCTAAACTCTCTACGTACACCATGATGGGTATAACAATTTACTTGATTTTGTACCGTTCTGATCATTATGCCGAAGCTAAACTCTCTACGTACACCATGATGGGTATAACAATTTACTTGATGTTGTACCTTTCTGATCATTATGCCGAAGCTTAACTCTCTACGTACACAATGATGGGAATAACAGTTTACTTGGTGTTGTACCGTTCTGATCATTATGCCGAAGCTTAACTCCCTACGTACACCATGATGGGTATAACAATTACTTGATGTTGTACCGTTCTGATCATTATGGCGAAGTTAAACTCTCTACGTACACCATGATGGATATAACAATTAACTTGATGTTGTACCGTTCCTTTCATTATTCCGAAGCTAAACTCTCTACGTACACCATGATGGATATGTTGTGAAAATTCATGGATGGTACCAGCGGGATTCGAACCCTCAATGTCGGGATCTAAGGGCTCTAACCAATTGAGCCAAATAAGATCTTCCCTAACTCAACCAGTTAGACTGCCATTATATTTCAAGGTCTACAACACTCTTCTCCCTTTTCTTTTTTCGGGCTGCGTACCATCCGATCAGCTCACATGTCACTACTGTACAACCCCGAGTCTTTCACACGGAAACCCTCTGGCCAGTTCTTTTGTATGTCACCTAGACATATCATGGTCATCCTATGATCTGGTCAACCCTAATGACCATATCAAACTGCCAGGTACTTACATACACTCGTGTGTACCAGTAAGAGATGCTCGCAGCGCAATTGTTGTGAAAATCCATGGATGGTACCAGCGGGATTCGAACCCTCAATGTCGGGATCTAAAGGCAGCGCTTTAACCAATTGAGCCAAAGAAGATCTTCCTTAACTCTCTACGTACACCATGAAGGATATACCAATTTACTTGATGTTGTACCGTTCTGATCATTATGCCGAAGCTAAACTCTCTACGTACACCATGATGGGTATACAAATTTACTTGATGTTGTACCGTTCTGATCATCATGCCGAAGCTTAACTCTCTACGTTGTCATATTTTTGGCAAGGAGACAACCAGTATCCATCAACATGTAAACAACTACATTTCAACGTATGGCCTTCAACAATGAGCAAAACCACTACCGTACAGTAAGTTATAAAAAGTTCGAGAATTAATAACAAAAATTAATAACAAAATGGAAACAATTCAAACGTTGAAATTTAAGCTTAAAACATTAAACAAAAAATAAATATGACAGACAGCAACCAACAACAATCAGTGGACTACAGTAACTTGGTTTGGTAAAGGATCGTAACAACTAGAAATCCGTTAAACATAAATGATAATACGTTATAATTATACTGTTATGTTCAATCAAGTCTTCTGTGTATAATTATACAGTTATGTTCAACCAAGTGTTCTGTGTATAATTATACTGTTATGTTCAATCAAGTCTTCTGTGTATAATTATACTGTTATGTTCAACCAAGTCTTCTGTGTATAATTATACTGTTATGTTCAACCAAGTCTTCTGTGTATAATTGTACTGTTATGTTCAACCAAGTCTCCTGTGTATAATTATAGTGTTAAGTTCAATCAAGTCTTCTGTGTATAATTTTGTGTATGTTGTTTAATGTATCTATTGTATTCCACTAGTCGAGATCAAAAGTCCTATATAATAACCATAGTACAGCCCGGCCATATTATGTTCGTGTGCCTGTCCCAAGTCAGGAATCTCTTTAGTGACCGATTTTAGATGATCTTTATACAATCTCTGTAAAGTTTATCCATAACTTTTCTAGACTCTGTGCGATTTAAAGCTTGATTGATATTATTGAACAACTGAGATCTA